AATCATTTATGCAACGATTGCTCAGCAGGCTGGTATTTTTACTCGACGCGAACGCTTGTCGTGTTTTTATGTAACCTTTCTGATGGGAACAGGAGACCCCTTCGGTAGCGAGAAACGGAGCGGAAAATCGGAGCAGAAAACGGCGCGAGATAGAGATAAAACGTGAAACGAAGGAAGCAATAACTTGTGCTTGATTCGCAATTGATCTCCAGTTCTAACTGAAACGTAATTCGTTGTTTTCTTTGGTAAGATATATATATATATATACCTATATATATATATACATGTATATGTAGAAGCTATACCTAAAGGAAGGTACGGGATATGCCTGTGCTGGACACGGTAATACGACACTGGACGCTCTGGTCTTTTCCATCCACACACCTTTCACGTCGCCCGTAAATGCAGGCGCCTTGCTGCCCACAGGTTCTAATGTATAAAGAGACATGCCGGTAAACAATAAGAGAATCGTCTTTTATCATCAAAGGGACAGGGGACCCTTCTTCGATCAATAGAGCAATACGAAATCAATGAAACCAAGCCACGTGACTCGCGTGTTAATTTTAGAACAATCGATAAGATATAACTCACAATTAAAAGCTTGACACAAACGTAAATGCGCATTTATAATTAAATAACGTGTTTGATGAAAAATATAATAAAATCGCTGAAAAATTGAAATAGAAAATAATGCGCAGTGTGCATGTTTAATTTCTTAAAAAAATTAAAAGAGACACGGAATGCGAATTTACCTAAACGAAGGTACCGGATAGCCCTGCGCAGGGCAAAACTGTACAACGCTGGAAGCGGCTTTGCTATTCATCCAACCTCCTTTCAAAGTGCCCGTCAACGTCGGCGCTTTGCTTCCCACTGGCTCTGACAATTTATAGACAGACACGATCATGCCACATGAGAATCACTTATATAGCTATCGCTATCGCTCGGTCTACGACCTTAGTAATTGTGCGCATGTATATACCTATACGTTGGCACTGGGAACCCCTGCGCGGGACAGAACAGGGTCAGATCGTCTCCACGAACGCGATGGTACCAAGCTAGCTTCGCGTCGTTCGAGAACTTCGGCTTCTTCGTGGCGACCGGTTCTAATTACACGATTACAGGCAGGGTAGTGAAACTCTCTCTCCTCGCATGCCGCGGGAACGATTCGATTGCTCTATATCTACGGTCCGCGGTACTTGCGTGCATGTATGTACCTATACATTGGAACTGGGAACCCCTGCGCGGGACAGAACAGGGTCAGATCGTCTCCACGAACGCGATCGTACCAGGCCTTCTTCGCGTCGCTCGAGAATTTCGGCTTCTTCGTGGCGACCGGCTCTGATTATAAGATAGCGGCAGAAATACAAATGAAATTCTCCACGCATGCAGCTGCAAGAATTCTCTATCTTGCTCTCTATTTACAGACGTCAAACAGCTCATGTGCATGTATACCTATACGCGGGAACTGGGAACCCCTGCGCGGGACACAGCAGGGTCAGATCGTCCCCTCGAGCGCGTTCGTATCCAGAAAACTTTGCGTCGTTCGAAAATTTCGGCTTCTTCGTGGCGACCGGCTCTAATGGTACGATAGACGAATGAAATAAGACTCTCCCCTCGCATGCCATGACCAATCGCTTATACCGCTCTATTTAGAAGGCTTTAGAGTACTTGCGCGTGTACCTATACGTGGGAACTGGGAACCCCTGCGCCGGACACAACAAGGTCAGATTGTCTCCTCGAACGCGATCGTACCAAGCCAGCTTTGATTCGCTCGAGAACTTCGGCTTCTTCGTGGCGACTGGTTCTAATTACATCGAGAGGCATGAAGCAATCATCGCACACATGACTGTATGTCAGATTCTAACGCGTAAGCATTTCAAAAGCTAGGAAATCCGAATAACTATGCTGAGAATGGTGCGTTAAATTTTCCCATCTATTACTACTGATAATTTTTTACGAAGATATTGAACTGCGAAGGCACGTATCGTGTGTGACTTGAAATCGTTAATGACAATGCAATTATCGGGTACCTGGTTACAGGAATAGGATGCCCCTGCGCGTTACACGGCATGCTCACTTCCAATCCGCGATTGCGAACAATGGAGAACGTTTTAACGTCTCCAATAAATGCGGGCGCTTTGCTCCCCATCGGCTCTAATGAGAAAATAAAAGACGTCACGAAAAAATGTGTGCGCTTTATGAACCCTCGGACAGAGTTCCCCCCGTCGGCTTTTCGTCGCGATTGTTCAGCGAAAGATGTGAAGGAAAATTCAACCAAGCTCCTTCCTCTTTATATAACAAGTAAATATTGTGTAATATGGTAAATAACATAAGAATGCCAAAAATAAAATGTTTTAACACACACACACGCACACGCACGCGCGCGCGCGCATATATATATTAAGGTGGGCCGGAACATTTTTTTTTTTAATCGATTAGTAATACCCCCCAAAAGTTAGCTATGGACCTCAATATAGTCTGGATAAAGTTTCATCAATCGATTAATATCTTCAGATTGCCCCTCGACTTTGAAATTAGTAAGTTTATGCATTTCTTACAAATTTTTAAAACAGCTGTGTGTTTTCTTTACACCAATCAATTCATCTCATTATTCTGTGTCTAAAAATATTAGGTACCATTATCAAAAAATCAATAGTTTACAAAATATTTTATATTATATATCGAAATATAGCATAATAAAGTATAAAATATCTCGTAAAATATTGATTTTTCGATAAGTTTATCTTAATATACTTTTATATGCAGGATAATTAGAGGAATCGTATTATGTAAATATATATATATATATATAATTCCGTTTAAAAAAATCGATGTGATTTTGATCTGATCTTAACGACGTCACTTAAGATAAAATTAATGATATTTTCTTATGTATATCCCCGTACAATTTTTATTTGAAACATTTTTCCATATCTGTCATATTTGTCGAGAAATCTTAATGTATTATTTAAGAATATATTTCGGATCCGTCATTTTAAAATGTATACTTCTGACCTCGGATTCGTGTTTAGCGACAAAAAAACAACAGGTAATACTAAACTGTACTAAAATTCAAATATGTTTTCGAATTTTGACACATCTATGAAGAAATGCATAAACTTATTAACTGCAAGGTCGATGGGGAACCTGAAGACATTAATCGATTTCGATGAAATTTTATCCAAATCCTGTTGAGGACCATAGCTAATCGATTTTCAAAAGAAATTTTTTTTTATCCACCCTACATATATATTATTGTATAATATGTATTTTAAATGTATCTAAAATCATTCCTGAATTCTGATATTCATAAAATGATTTCACAGATAGACGGCACAGGAAAATTGGCTATAAAATGAAGTTACTATCACTTTTAGAGATCGATGTTACTTGAATCCTTATTAAATGTCGTACCTAGACACGGGAGGAGGATGGCCTTGGGCATTGCACGGAAGACTGACTTCTGCGTTCGCTTTCCGCGCCAATAAAGATATCTTTGCTTCGCCGGCAAAGGCAGGCGCCTTACTTCCGACAGGCTCTAAAGAATATCGACTTGCCATTACTACTCCAATTCTTGCTTGCATATTTGAAGCGGGGACAGGGCCTTTCCCTTGCCAACAACGAATTATTATGCATTAAGCATTATTAAATTCGCCTTTTATAGAACGGTCCATTTATGAGATAGAATTTAATAGTTTTTTATGCTCGGAGTAAAAATAATTAAATATTATTGTTTTGACGACGCTTCCTTATATCCTTATTAACTAATAATGCCGTAATAACCTCGTACCTAGATACTGGAGGAGGATGACCCTGAGCATTACAAGACAGACTAACGTCCGCGTTCGCTTTTCGCACCAGCAGAGATAACTTCGCGTCGCCCGCAAATGCGGGTGCTTTGCTTCCGACGGGCTCTAAAGAACGTCAATTTATTTAGAAAGTTACCTTTCTACACACACAACCTTACACCTTGCGCGGGAACAGGGTTTCCCCTCGAAAATGAAGCTCGACCTTGGTCGATCGATATAAATTAATTCTGCCTCTTCCGAATCTCATCCATATCGATGCGAAACGGTTTTTTTTTCTTTTATTTCACAAAGTCAACCTTTGTCAACTAATTAAATAAAAAAAAAAAACTGTTACCTAGTCGTCGGCACAGGGCTTCCCTGGGCGGCACAGAAAATACTAATGGGCTGTCCTTCGTGTCTTGCGATCGTACGACTCAAATCGTCCGACGTTAATCTAGGCGATCTGGCGCTTATCGGTTCTGAAAATTCGATCGCAAAATTGGATCCACGCATAAAGCACCTCTCACGGAAAATTACCTGGCGATTGGGATGGGAAATCCCTGAGCGTTGCAGGCAAGCACCACGTCCGTACCCATACGCCTAGGATAGGCTCTAGAAGTGTCATCGGTGGAGAAAATCGGCGATTTAAACCCGACCGGTTCTACGAGAGAACAACGTGACGGAAACGATCATTTTTACGCGGCAACTCTCGCGACATCGCGAACAGTAAGAGGGAATTATCAGTTGAGAAATCGGAAGAAATTTCTTGCGATTGAAAATTATTATAAATAGGAAATTCAACGTTGAACGTATTAAAATATTTCAATTATTTTAATACGATTTTGCGGAACGCCGACAGAATGCATCTCACCTTGAAATTGGAACAGGGTAACCTTGCACCGGGCACATCAAGTTCGCTGCGCCATGCGCCCTGGCCTCCATGAATTCGACTTTACGCACACTCGGCAATTTCGGCTTCGCGCTCGACGTCGGTTCTATAAAGAGGTGCACGAGGACGCGAATAAGCCTTATTAGGCACGAAGACTAGTACTGACCGTGTAATGGGAACAGGGAACCCTTGAGCGGGGCAAGTCATCGACACCGCGCTGGAGCTCGGCGTCGGCCTCACCACTTTTATGTCGGCATTCGTAAACTTTGGTTTCGCGCTGGACACGGGCTCTACATTGAGGAAACGTTAGACACTGTCACGCGTGTTCGATTTTACATGATACATTCTGAACGCTAGGACTGTGGGTATCCCGTGAAAGAACCAGAAGAAAGATCAAGTATCACAAAATCATACTTTTAAATACAAGAAGAGTAGAAAATATTCTCTAAAATGTTCAATTTATATTAAAAAAAATAGGTATAATGTTTTATATCTTGAAAACAGAAAAATTATTATAAGTTATATAATTATACGTGAGAAAATCAACATTTTTATTCTCTTTAAAACTTTGAGACACAAAAACGCGAAAGAGTATGTTATATTTTACCTGTTTATATTCCATATAATTCTTAATGTGTATTTTAAATATTCATTAATCCTAAGTAAAGACAGAAAATAATGATTATTAAATTTATACGCGGAAGGAAACCCGAGGACAGGCAGGAATTAAGCGGGATCTGAATGTAATTTGAATAACAAGGGCGCGATCAAGCCGGAAGGAAAAATCGATCGCTGCCCTTTAATGGCTCCACTTTCCCTCGTGTTTACTCAATCACTTATTCTGTACCGTAACAGCGCATCGACCAATATATATTGTACGTATTCAGACAATCTTTATCGATATATATATACCTGTAATTCGGTACCGGAAATGCTTGAGCTGGGCATGGTAAAGTTAGAGGTTGCTCGCATTGCACCGTGTACGTCGTGTAAGTTCGAGAATTTTCTGTCATTGGAAATTTTGGTTTCGTACTGGTAACCGGTTCTACAAAAGAAGAACCAGGCTTATAAATCTTCGGTGATCCGTTACGAATGATTATTATGAAGACGTAAATATTTAATATTTTTATCAGTTCGCTTAACATCCATAATTGCAATATCTAATAATAAAAGTAGACAAGGATGGACGAAATTATTTCTTCGGCAAAACTGACAATTTCTAAACAACATTTCTAAACATCCATTGCAACGTGATCGCATTTTAATACCTCTTAACGCCTAAGAAACCCTACACCGGGACAAGGTAACTCCATAACAATTGAATTCGCGCTGTATTGACTAGGTATATCCAGCTCAGCAACCGTCGTGGAAACACCGGGGGGATAATCCCCTGCCATGACGTGTCCTCGATGATTTCACCCATCAGCGGGCGCAATCAAAGACCACCCCGAGACAAATGGTGAGGATGGCTCTGACGAGTATGAAGTTAAATAGCAATTTACCTGAATGCTGGCACGGGAAACCCTTGAACGGGGCACAAGAGAGTCGCGATGGAGCCCAATATTGCATTCGGATTCGTCGATTTCACATCCAACGCCGTTAATTTCGGTTTCGAGCTCGACAACGGTTCTACGTATATAACCAGAAATACAAACGAGCGAATAACCGGAATTCGTTCGACCGCGTATAGGAAATCGATGATCCCCGCGCGCGCACTTTACAACCGCGCGAACTTACTTGAAGACTGGGACGGGATACGCCTGGGCGGGACATTGCAGTGTCACACCTTGGACTTCCGCGATCTCGAACGTGCGGCTCTTATCGACAGTGGAGAACTTGGGCTTTGCGAAGCCGACCGGTTCTACAAATCAAACTTCTAGTCAAATGCAAAGCCTCGATGCCATTGATACGTACATCGCACTGTTCCGTAAAACGAATCGAATTAAATTCAAAAAATTCGACAATTTTTTTCATCCCGGAAATGTTACATGATAAATTTATGATGTTAAGTATCAATTATAATGCATACGAGGTCGTTGCTAGTTAAAAATTCATTTAAAAAACTTCATTAAAACTTCTGCCGCAAACGAAATGAAAACTGAGATTAACCGCAAATCTCGTTTCACGCGCGAAAGAGATCGATACTGGGACAGAGTAGCCCATCCTCAGGGAGAAGAAGCCCTCAGACATTCTCCGTCGGTCCGATTCTCCTCTCTCTTTCTCTCCACGACAATAGCCGGAGATCGACCAATACATCAACCTACCTATACGTGGCGACCGGAAACGCCTGAGCCGGGCATAACAACGTAAAGCCCATGCCTTTTGTAACGCGTAGACCAACGTCGTTTACAGATGGAAACTGAGGCTTGGTGCTTGACGCGGGTTCTAAAAACAGAACGCTAGACAGTCCGACATGGTACAAAGCTGGCGGGCGCCAGGTTACTCGCTAACTATGCTGGAATAGGGTCTGCCCCCCTTTGCCAACAACGATAAACGATTCTGTGTTGGGCGAATGAGCGAGCAAACGAGAATTAACCTATTGTAGAGATATAGTAACGGCGTTTCTAAATTTTTCAATTACGAAGAATAAAAAAAAGTCTGAGACAAGTCAAATAAAATTACGTCAAGTAATTCAGTTAATTATACCTGACGAAGTAACACGTTGTCGGATGCCGAGAGAGGTGGGACGTAAAAGTGCATAAGTTTTAGATTTCTTAAATCCTTTCGAAAAATAGTGCGCCTACCTATAGAAAGGTACCGGAAATCCTTGAGCGGGACAAAGGAGGGTAACGCCTCTTTGCGAAGAAACGCTAAATCGCTGAAGATCACTCGAGCCGGACAATTGCGGGCGCGTGCTGGACGCCGGTTCTGGTAAAAAAGATTTTTTTTTTTTGCGGAAGAAAAAAGTGGTCTTTACCTGTACGATGGGACGGGGAACCCTTGAGCAGGACACAGTAACGTCATCGCGCCGTCTAGGTACACTTTGAATGTCTGCGAGTCCGCCAGCGACGGAAATTTCGGACGGGCGCTTGCGACTGGTTCTGGACGAAAGTTCGAAGATACCGAAGAAACATCGATGACATTTGCCTTCTTTTACTTATATTATCAAATTTACGCGAAATTGGAACATAATTGCTAACAAATCTCAACATGTATACGATAATAAATAATTTTGTAACTTGATATTTTCTTATTAATAAAATGTAAATGGTTCAGTAAAGTTTATTTGCAATTATTTTAAAGAGCATAAATTACTAGTTAAAATTTAGTAAAGAAAAATTTGATGCAATTATAATTTATAAAATAAATTACAAATAAATTACGTTTTAATGTTCCGCGTATGATAAAATCGATCGCCGAAAATTGATGCACATGTTGATTCGCACAGACATTGAAAGATCAAAAGAGAAGAGTGAGAAACACGGAAGGCGTGCATACATCGCGTCTATCCGTCCGCAATTTCCTTCCTCGTCTTTTACATTATTCCACACTGCCGACATGCACCAACCGGAATATGGCTGCTCTATAGTACGCACTCGCTTTCTTATGACATGGGGGGCTTTGTATACCTGAAAGCTGGAACGGGGAAGGCCTGTGCCGGACACATGAGAGTCAGCGGCTGATCGCAGTGAACTGTGTACGTACGCGAGTTCTCTGTCATCGGAAATTTCGGTTTTGTGCTGGCGACTGGCTCTACAAGAAAGCGAAAGAGAAAGCACGAGCGTATAGCGCGTAGCTATATAATCGCGACAATAATGCGACAACTTAAGCTAATCGAATTTTATTTCTTTTTGACAAATCATTATAAAATTGCTGAGACAGGGTATATTAATAGTTACGAGACAAAAAATATGTTATAATAAAAATATACTTTAATATACAATAATATATAAAAACAAATATTTGAAACAGAAAAGAAAAATTTCTGTAATAAAAGAAAAAATAAGCTCGTTAAATCTGTATTTTTAAAATATTTGCATTTTCACAAAATAATCAAATTTGATTGCACAGACACTCGTGTTCTTTCTATCGCTTCCCTCAAATACCTATTTTTTTCTACATTTTTTAAATCTAAATCTGCGGTATAACCTTGTCCCACCTATGCGACGGTACGGGAAACCCTTGAGCAGGACAAAGTAGAGTCAAAGAGTCTCTCTGGTTCGAGATAAATCCGCGCGAGTTGTCCATTGTCGGAAACTTTGGACGTACGCTCCCCACGGGTTCTACAAAAAGACCACGGGCGTGGAAGGAAACGTGTCAGAAACGCTGACAACATTACAATGATCCACTTATGTATGCCAGGGGACAGGGAACCCTTTGAACTCATTGAAGTGATACTCGAACCAGCTCGAAATTCATTACTTAACCAGATAGATACGTATATATATAATTCCTCGTCAAAATTCAATATTTTTTGAACATTGTGTCAGAAATTATCGTAAGAAATGCCTAATTTTCTAAAATTATCTAATTTACTTCACAAAAGTGTATGTAAAAGTTTATAAAACTGCAGGTATCGATTTTATATGTGCTATCGCATTGAAATCGCTGTTTCAATGATCAACCCTACCTATAAGACGGAAGCGGAAATCCTTGAGCGGGGCAAAAAAGTGGCAGGTTCCCGTTGGTCCTCGTCACGAATCCAATCAGGTTGATGATACTCGAAAGTTTCGGACGTGCGCTCGCTACGGGCTCTACCAGTCGCAGCCCGGGAGAGAGAGAGGAAGATAATTGTGAAGACGACAATGAGAGAAACGCGAAATATCTTCGCGAATTTCGACTTACTTTTGAAGCGGGACAGGGAACCCTTGAACGGGGCACAACAAAGTAACAGATCCACCTTTGATCATGCGAAACCCTCTGATGTCATCTATCGTCGGGAATTTCGGTTTCACGCTGCCGACTGGCTCTAAACATTATTGAACCGTACATACACAATATATATTGCGTTAATTGAGATACCGTTTATATGCAGGAAGACGGGGAACCCCTGAAGAGCTCGAACTAAATCTGCATCTTCCAAATTTTCGCGATAAAAATTTCGTGTAACCAATTTCTTTTTTTTTTTTTACGCTGCCCAACTCCCTGTACTTAAAGCTGCAAATGTAGGTTTTCTTTAACATTTAACTCTAAAAAGTATTATAAAAAGAGAATTTCTCTCTGATAATATTGTAATAAAATATAGTAAGATACATGAACAAGGAAAGAATATTAAAATGCGAAATTACTGAACTGTGCAGAAATAAAATTGTTAATACAGTCGTCAGAACTTTTCATTAGAATAACATTAATATTAAATTGAGGCCATATCGCTAATTACAGAACGGTTATGTATAAAGTGAGAGGACACCGTCGCAATGTCAGGTGTATGCTCGTCATTGCTAATTACCACCAGCAGCGGTTTCTCACTCGCTGCAGGTACGGAATATTTAATCGCAATTCCTTAATGGCGAACCAACGTGAGATTCCGCTTTAAGAGCGGCGCGACATCAAGGCGCATTCGATGATATAATGTAGGTACCTATATGACGGGACGGGGAAGCCCTGTGCGGGGCACAGGAGCGGCAGAGTTCCGTTCGTGGACGTGACGAGGCCGTTTATATTGCTGACGCTGGGGAACTTCGGACGCACGCTTCCCACAGGCTCTGCGACGGGCAACGAGATCCCGGGAAGAAGAGAGAAAGAGAGAGAGAAATACGTAACACAGCGCGACTTTCGCGCGTAGCGCGGACTTACTTGTACAGGGGGACAGGGAACCCCTGAGCGGGGCACATCAACGTGACCGAGCCGTCCTTCGTCGTGCGGAAGCTCCTGGAGTCGTCGATCGTCGGGAACTTGGGCCTCACGCTGCCGATCGGCTCTGATCATATCGTTTATAATTTTGGGGGGAGAGGGAACTTGCGCGCGTCCGCGCGACCGAACGGTCGTCCCGTGGGACTCGCGTTCGCTCGGCGGTGTGTCTCTACCTGTACAGGGGAACGGGGAACCCCTGTGCCGGGCACACCAGGGCCGGGGAGTCTCCGACGAGCGTCCGGAAACCGCGCACGTCGTCCGTCGACGGAATCTTTGGGCGCACACTGCCCACCGGCTCTAAAAAGCACGCCGTTTCTGTATTTTTTTTTTGCATTCTTCAAATTCGTCGCTTGTGTAATTCTGATGCGAAGCAAGAGTCGTCCTCTCTTGCGAAAAGACGGACGATAAATTGACTCAACGTCGCGATCGTATATGAATTTATGTGAGTGCCTTCAAGAATGATGACGCAAGATGTTTTAACTAGATCAATGAGAAGGAACGGGGAACCCCTGTGCACACATTACACATACACGATACAATGATTTGCTAAATGATATCTATACCTATAGTAGTAACCATAAAGTTCGGTATTGACTTAAGTTGAGACCCGTATCTGATTACAAAGACTCTTCCTGCTATTCCTCTAACCATTTTCAGATCAATGTCCATATATATTATTTAAATAAAACACCTGACTTTATGAGAAGAGACACCGTCTAATTTAAGTTTTAAAATCGAAATATATTTAAATATTTAGCTAACAAATAGATACTAATTATTTCCTGTCCTTTCCAATATAATACAATTTCCCTAAACAGATGCAACTAATAATTTGCACCTGCTATTTTTACTAATTCCCATTTTATTCCCTGTCATTTTGTAAATTATTGTCTGAGTTATAATTTAACAGATAAAGGGAAAATAATCCGTCATCATTGCCAACGTTTATCGTAACTGATACAAGCTGCTTTATGTTCATTTGACAGTCATAAATTAATCTGCCCGGGATCAAGAGTATCGTACCTATGAGACGGTACTGGAAATCCTTGAGCAGGGCACAGAAGCGGTATATTGCCTTCCAAGCCCACGGAAAGTCCATTTATGTTGTCCAACGTAGGAAACTTTGGTCGCACACTCCCGACGGGTTCTGCGTAACGAAAAGCTTGCAGTAGAGCCGTATACTTGCCAAGCCCCCTGCTCGTGTCGCCAATCATCCTTATTACGGCTACATTGTATCTTGCTCTAGTTAGTCCCTAGATTATTATTATTATATACTGCATCGCGTCAAAGTGACTCGACGGTATTGCTTATATGCACTATTGCGCCGTTCGTACGAACAAAGCGATTCGTTTATCGGTGTCATCCTGCCGATCAGTGTGGATACTCAACTGTACTACTACGCGCGGAACGAAAGCGATGGCGAAGCGAAAGTGGTTTCGCGTTCAATGTCGCCCATTGTGACACGGTGAATCCGTCAGAGTTATACCAAAGAGAGGATTTGTTGATTCCCGACTACTCGAATTACGCAATAAGGTATAAGCCATTGAGTCAAGTAGTGATACAAGTCGTGAATGAAAACAATGGGAAACATATTTCTATGTAGCAATTTGATGGATTATTTCGATTACACTGTTAAATCTATAGTGTCGAATTTAACATTATTTAATTCGCCACTGTTCCTACTTAATAAATAGTTATTTTTAAAATAACGGAGTTAAATAATTTAAAACTGTTCAAATTTAACTCTAATTTGGGTTAAATTTCATCGTTTTATTTAAAAATAACTATATTGTTTTAGTTAAAAATAACAATATGTTAAGTAGAAACAGTAGCGAATTAACTAGGGTTAAATTTGACACTATAAATTTAACAGTGTATAAAATTACATTTTTTTTCATAAAAATAAAAAGATGGAACTGGCACGATAGAAAAAAATTCTTTTCTGTGAAGATAGAAAAGAATTCTTTTCAAAATAAGAAAAATGTGATTAGTATTATTGTCGCGATTTAACTCGAATATCTCTGCTAATTTACTGCAGTAAAAGCGTACAAAGATACGATCGATTCCGCCTAAAATTCACAGCACAGAACGGAGCTCAGCTGCGTTGAGTGCCGCGTCTATTGAATTATGCGCATCAGCATCCACACGGTGTGAAGAGTTTCTCGGCTGAAAGAACATGTAAACTTACCACGCGAGAGCGAAGGACAGAGCCCGGAGATCGCGGAAGGCGCCGCAAAGCGTTACGAAAGAATTTCGCACAGGTCATATCTTTCCTTCTTTCTTTCTATCTTTCATTTGTCTTTGTTCTTTGGACAATTTCTCTCGAAACCGATCGTGTCAAGAGTCGAGTTTTGGGCGGGCGGTGGCGCGTGCCCGCAGGGGTACCCTGTCCCAGCATTCAGGTTCACCCGCGAGCTTGATCGCGCTGAAATGCCGGACATGCGTTTCGGCTTTTCTATAAACGAGAAGCTTTAATTGCGAAGGTAGAGTTCGTGATGTGTGTAAAAATGTCACACGGCTTCTTTTAATAGAGCTGACCTTAACTCGCGTTTTCGCGAAGGAAACCGAGAGCGAGAGAGTCGATCAAGCTCGTTGGCACAAACGATTGCACGTTCGAGACGTGACTATAAACCGAAGAGACAACTGATTTTCTCTGGGAAATACAAAAATATCTTGCACAATAAAAGTAATTTTGAAATTAACTTGGAAAATTACACACTATAATTGCTTAAAATGCCATTTTTGTATATATTTTTATGCATTACTCTTGTTATAGAAAATCAATTGCCTTTTTGATAATAGTTCCGGACCCAGACACCTCGCAATAAAATAGATAGCTTATAAAGACGGCATTAAAAAATTGACATTTCCAAATGTTAAATTGAGAGGGATATATAAACTGATCTGTTAGAAAGAGAGAGAATACTTTTACATTTGTTATAATATTAAATTTACATTTAATTCGGCTAATTTATTGTTAAATCGGTAGACAAAGGAATTATATTACGCAACAATAGTTTCATTAATTAGCTTCCAAAATTGTAATGTGCGTGTCTAGATAAATTAATCGCCTCAAATAACTGTATTGATCCGGAAAATTTAAAGTGTGAACTGTGGTATCCAGGCCCGAAACTAGAAATACGATTCTGATTTCTTTAGGAAAAAAAACATATGCGGAACGTTAAGTTTAATGAAGCTGTAATCCTCCGCTTACATCGAAGGACGATCGAAAAATGGTTTTTTTTTTTTAAAGAAAGCAATGTGCCGAATCAGAATCGTGATTTCCGATTACGAAAGAAACACTTTTGCATTTCGACTCACCAGTAATGACGAGACGTCCCTTCGTCGCGGATAGCCTAGTTTCGCCGGTGAGCCGGTGCTTCGTGCGACACTGGTAGGTCTTGTATCCGTCTTCCGGTCCGACGTCCCGGATGTGCAGTTCTCCGGACGGCAGCACCAAGTACTTTCCATCTAAACCCGTTCAGAATTGCACGCGTTAGTATATCATTGCACATTATAGCCTCGCTTACGTGACTCGTCGGGATAATCGATCGGCCGATTAATGCGTTATTTGATATCGCGTGCGACATCATTGCCAATTGATTCAGAGCTGCAGCGCACATTATTGATCAATTAATTAAGAGATTAATTACACGTATGTTATTGGTTATCAAGGGGAATCGGCGGGGGCGATTATCCCGACTGAATTGCACGATGCTCGAATGGCGGTAATATAAAATTACGAGGCTTCGAGCACAATGCCGTCTTACTAAATGCAGCATGCATGCGGTATATATATGTATATTGTTCGCAATATGAATTCACCGAACGCTGAATGAACACGGACCCTTCAATTTCCCGCTTCGACGGTTCGGCGAATTCTTTACGGAATCAAAGCACGTTCGCCAAACAACAGCAAAGGGAATCTCGCGCCCACGTCGTACGCGACTCATAGGAAAGACATTATGCGGAATCACGTCTTCATCTCTTTGCAAATGTAAATGTGTGGCGCGCAACATTCCCCTCGTTCCGTTGAAATATCCAGGAAATCTGTGTGTCTATTATAATAAACGTAAAGAGAACAAAAGGTGGCACATTAATCCTAATTACAAAATCTACAGCATTTATATTGATATTATAATAAATACATATGATAAATAAACCGTTTTGTAAAGATATTCTTATAAAATCTCCGATATAAATTGATTCTGTCAAATATCTACATGCAATGTCACTCGATGCCAGATTACCTTAACAAATGGAATATAACGAATTGTCTGTTAATCCATTTTGCACGTTAAAGTTAATCTCCATTGTGGTTGAAGCTATACGTTTCAACACCTCTAACGAATCTGATCGCTTTTGCGGCCGAATCTCATCGACAAACGAGACTTCCTGGATAGGCGAACTAGTTTCATGCGATCACACACAAGCCGATATCCACAGCCGTTTATAGTTACTACCACACAGAGAGGAGGGTACAGGTGAGAAGAGACGGACGGGCCGATCGAACGACCGGAAAAAAAATCGGTAGGAAAGGGGGAGGGGGGAGAGGTCTGGAACAGCGCGAGCAGCGGCAGTCAACGTCGTACAAATTTCCACGTAAAATCCCATATTGCACGGTACTTTTGAAACGAGGGGCATCAAAACAAGAGAGATCGCGTATATCTTGCATTTTGCACGCGGGTCATGGTACGATATCGATTTCGAGCTTGGTCGATAGAGCGGAGGCCGATGAAAACGATTTAAACGACCTGGATTGGTATTTTTTGTTATTTCGCAGCTATAAATATACACTTCGTGTTAGCGAAAAAGTTTATTCTCTTTTCCCGCCATTCTCTTTTTCCCTCCCACGTATGTCAAAATTTGTATATAAAGTCATCATCGTCACTGCGCACGGTATTTCGCCACTGTGATCTCGTGACTGAAGCCAACGCGTTTTTATTTGTCACGGAACGAGCGGAAGATAATTTTTGCTCGAATACGAAAGCGTTCGTCAAACGGAGTGTTATTACCGAACGATGGTCGGACGACTCATGAGAGAATCCTTGAGCTACATTGCCGCACGCTGATGGCTTACCGAGCATTGTATAATTCTGCGTTTACCGAACGCTTGAAATGCATCAGTCTCTTACAGAGCAAACAATGCAAAGAAAATGCATTAGTTTTTTAACTGAAATATAAAAGGTATATCGGAAAGAAGAAACAACGAAAAACCATAAGAAAAACTTGTCGAAGAATCTGCTCCTAATAACTGAATCTGAAATCTTCGCAGGATCAGCACAGATGTTATCTCATTTCACGAATCATAATTTCGAAACAACGAAATGATACAAAAGCACACAAATAGAACGTAATTCCCATTTGTTTTTTTTTTTCTCAATAAGCTTCCACATGATGCACCGATTTAGTAGTAGTAAATTGCGAGCATCGTAGAAACGGAAGATTCACGCGATATTCGAGCAGAATGGAGATGACATGAATATATTGCGCATCGTGTACCGTAATCGGCGCTAGGATATATATCAGTGGTCTCGTCTTCGATCCAAGAGTCAACCTCGACGAATTCGGCGACGAAGCTCGGTATGTGACACTTGATAATTGCGGCGTTCCCCCGAAGGACGTGTTCGTCCATCACGTTCACTGCATACCGCTGCCCGACAACTGCAACCAGACACCGGTTTCCGGCTTTACCATAAGGCGCACATCTACCACCTGACAGAACGTGTCATCGATCATTCGTCGATTAATTACGATTTCATACCACCGACGATTTCTTCAATTTGTACGTAAAACAATGAAAATAAGAAATTAACGTATTAATTTTATTATGATATATACAAGGCGTAGTGACTAATAATTAAATTCGAATACAGAAACATTTGTTCATTCCTTTCGGTTGTTAATCATTTTATAACTCATATAATTTAATAATTATTAATTATTAAATATTTATTTAATATTTATATGTTTGTATATGAGCTCATTCATCATCTTGTTTGTCTGCTTATATAAACGCAGTTTAATACGTAATTTCCTAGTAAATTTTAATCGAATTGATAAACCGTAAAAAGCTGCTTTCATTAAAGTGAGTATTTATAGTTGTTTTTTACCGAGAAACGTCAAACCAGAAGAGATTATGTACTTTTGTATTGGCGCGAAGACAAATTGTTAGTCGACAAAATAATGTATTATAAGCAAATGTATTTTGCATTTGAAAATTCGTACGGAATAATGAATTATGATATTATTGTAGAATTTATATCATAAATTTGTAAATATATTTTAATTGATAAGACGGCTTTAATTAATCACGAAAAAGCTTCAAAGTAGTATGTTTTGTAAATAAAATATCTAATTAATTATATATTGTACTTTATGTATAATAATTTTTTCGAAATGTATAATAAAAACAAGTACTTGGCGTACGAGCCAGGCATTATTCTCAAACTTGTATATATGTAATCATTATGACGGCTTTCAATGACTCGATAAGTTCCGCTCGGCGAGACATGCGTATCATAATCAGAAATCCTATTCACGTCACCGTCGCGTCTCTTTTCTTTGTGAATTAAAATAAACTCTACTGTCTACGGCAGCTGAAGAATATGTTCCTGTCAAAGAGAACGGGTCGTGCGACCGGTCTTCTTGAAATAGACGCGATCGATGTTCAACATTACGATTCGTTATACACGTTCAATAAGCAAGTGGCACGTCAATGCACATCGCAACGATATGAAAGATATCTAATCGTATTGCATGGCGCCTTGTACACCTGACGCACCGACTTAAACCAAACAAACACGATACGTGGTATCGTTAAGAGGAAAGGAGGAAATTGTAGAAAGCGCATGCAAGATGTTCGACTTCGATCGTTCGATCCAGTTCTCACGCGATCGCGGATCGGCGATCTGCGCAAATCTGTGCAAACAACAAAATAATGTGCGATATGCCAGTTCACAAGGGAGGACACCCATGTCTATTTCTACCAAGGTATATTAACTTTAATCCAGATTTAACTTACTTTGTATCTTTTTCTACTTTTAAGAATTAGAACAAGATAAAAAGTAAATAAAACCGTGACGAAAGTTAATCTACACTGGTAGAAATGAACACCAGTCGCGCAGCGTATCGTGCATCCCTTTCAGTTTTTTCTACTACCATATGACTGTGCGTCGGCGACGTAGCTGCCGCCGTTGGAATCGATCCATCCCACCACGTCCACGTGGTCGGCCACGAACGAGGGAACTTGACACTTGAAAATCGCCGCGTTGCCGCGTATCGCGAACTGATCGTAAACCTGAACCTCAAAGTACTGGGCGACCACTGCAAATGAAGCGAACAAAAACAAACGAGAGTTTGGCGTTTGTTCTAGGCTGGCGAGTGTCGCCGCGTGCGCTTTGATCGCGCCGATTAAAATTCCAATGAGTCTGCCTGTCTGCAAACTGGCTGTCGCCGCCGCTGCAGCCAGTTTCCGATTCGTGCTTCCCGTCGAGACCAGCAACGTCCGATGCACGTGCACGGACATCGATCCAGTTAATCCGAGTTATCTAATTGCAAATTAGCAAACCCCCGCGCGCGCACCCGTTCACTTAATTTCACACAGAAATATGTTTGTAAATGCTGCAGCATTAAAGAAGACCAATAAGCGGCTTATTTTACAAATATAGGCTTCAAATTGATATTTATAATATAACGTTTATCTCTCAATACCATTTCACAACTACAAACCGAGTTTTATGCCAATTATGCTAAGATTTATATCGTCCTAATTACTTTTATCTCACGAATTCAAGTAATGAACAAATTTAGTTTTATTTTTAAAATACGCAACATGCTTCAGAAAATAATATACATTTCCGCAATTAAAATTAAATATAGAAACGAGATCGTATGACTTCTCATATGAGAGTGTAATAAAATTTAACACATTAGCGTTAGTTCCCGTATAACTCCGCCTCATTAATTAATAGCGCAATATCTTCGAGCGTTGGCTACCACGGCAGTAAAGTAAATTCGATTACATCGCGCGTCGCCGCGAATAACCTCTCTCTCTCTCTCTCTCTCTCTCTCATCCTCTCTCTTCACTGAAAGTGGATCAAATCGTTTGGTCGCGCGCGGGCGTTAATTCGCTTCTCGACCCGATTAATCCGGCTTGTCCTAATCCGAGAATCACGTCGAACGAGACCACTGTCAGCCGCATACTCTGCCTCTATTCACTCTCGCCGAATGCTGAATCGAAAAGGGTGTCCCACATTTTTTGGGACAGAAACCCACATCCACTCCATCGACCATCAACCCGTCTTTCCATTCTATGAGAATTCGCGTTCTATCGAGCGACACATGTGCGAGACATGTGCACGAACGAACCGTCTCTACCCATCTGATTGTTGAGACAAACACATTGTAGGTATAATTTAATTTGCAAGATGCTTTATCTTTGAAAGATGGAGATCTTGAAATTTGAAGGATACAGAAAAAAATTATAAAAAGATAAATAGGATTTGTTTAGAAAAAAATAAAATTGCATCGCTCGATGATATGAGGATTTAGAAATAATATCGAGAGGTCTGTAAATATTATCTCGTTATTTCATTAATGTGCTGGTTTCGTGCAACCGACATAAGTACCCTTTTCTTGCTGGCTATTCGTGGTATACGTGGAACCATCCTCAGCCTGCCATTCAATCACATCTACGAAATCCCCCACAAAGCTGGGCACGAGGCACTTCAGGGTTGCCGTATTTCCGCGTAAGACGAACTCATCGATGACCCTCGTCTCGTAGAATTGTTGGACCACTGCAACGCGCGATTTCTCAGAACCGGTTGTGAAATACATCATATCAAATTTTTGTTTCACTTTGACGGACGCTACTCGAACTCGCTACTCGAACTCGCTACCGAAAGACGATTAAAAATGCTGCAGGGCCATCGTTTTTTTTTTGCCATTAAAATTGTTATCGCCTTCAGATTTATTTTATTAGCACTTCCATCTTCATATCTACTTTGCAGATGTTCGTTTCGCAACTTAAATACGCTCCCTAATGCGATTGTGCACGACTGCACTGGACTACAGCAGATCCGAAAGTAAAAGTCGGAACTTGTCACGAGCCGCGTGCTGCAACCGACAGTTGCCGGATTGCCTGGGAACGAATGTGAGAAGAAAGTGCGAGAGCTCGTTTGAGGGTGGGAAATGAGAATAACGGGGGAAATAAGAGAATGGAGAAGAAGCTGATCCCGCGACTTCAACGACGCACACCACGTTGACATCGACCCGGCGTCATACCGTACTCCTGTCCGGACGTGTAAATCGTCCCGTCGTCGGCCACCCATTGATCCACCTGGACGAACTCGGACACGAAGCTCGGTATTTTGCATTTCATGATCGCGCTGTTAGCCCGGATCACGTACTCGTTCTCGGCCTCGGTAACGTAGAACTGCGAAACCACTGCCGGCAATATGTTAACTCTTTGAGACACACGGTGAAAAATAAATCGTTTCTTCCAAAGTTTAACAATTTAATATTCTGGGTTATATAACGATCAACGATTTATATCACTTTACATATATGGTATGAGATAAATCGCAATCACTAGAATAAAAATTGTTAATATTTTTTATCATTTTTTAACAAGTAATACCTTATGTTATGTGTCACAAAACACCTTTTTATATAAATCTTTTTATATAAATTTCTTATAAAAATGTGTACTTCAAAGAGTTAAACAGGCGGAAAATAAGATACGTTTTCTGCATAAAGTTGTAAGGGGAAAAAAATGAATACTTCGGTTAGCGGACAAAGTTAGTAAACAAGCGTAAATAAGCGACGGATACTTTCCACAGCAATTTGTATAGAATTAGGTTGTAAGGTTGCAAAAAATTCAAGTAAAATTCAATAAAATTGTAATGATTAATTGACTTTACTGAAAATAAAAAATAATTGTAAATTTAGTATTTTTATTTTAAAATTATTTTTTAAATCAAGAAACAAGTTAAAATTACTGTGAGTCCTATATTCTAAATCCTTGAATTATTTATTTCCGATATATTTTTCTATTAGAAACATCCTAATTCATATACAACTTTTCGGTAGAATGCTCAAAATAATTGAGAAGCGCCCAATGGGATCTGTAGTACCCTGCGCAACCGTAAGATCCGCCGGCAGATAGACCTCTCCATCTTCGCGAATCCACGCCTCGACAGTAACGAATTCAGCGATGTAACTGGGGATGCTGCATTTTAATATCGCGCTGTTTCCCCTTATAACGTATTCGGTCAAGATCTCCGGATTGTAAGGTTGAGTGACGACTATGCGGGGGGGAAACATTGAAACAACGCATGTTCAATTAAATCAATAAGAAAGGTCGCATCGTTTAAAGATAGCCCCCCCCCCCTTTGTGTGCGGAACGAAGTACGTTCACTATTCTTAGCTTTCATATTATTTGTAGACGGAAAATTTATTTCGTTTTCTGCGAGAAAGAAGATATAATTAGATGTTTGTAAACAAGAAAAATCAAGCTTTTTAGAGACAATGCGAAATAAATCAGGAATAATGTTTTTATAAAAGAGCAATGGAGATGATAGTATAGAAGTTATTTGGAATCTTTCTGTACCGTGATGCCCCATGAATACTTTTGTATCTATAAAATAGCGAGGCAAGAGCCA